CCATAAGGTCATCGTTGTGGTGATATAGCAATGAGTTTGTACATAGGAGTAGCAATTGCCTATTTCGGCTAAATTTCGGCGCAAATTGTGGTGCCCTCAATTTCTTCACCCCCTGTTGGAGTCGTGCTTTAAAAGTCATCAATATACGCTAACTAGGATAAGTCGAGCTAGCTTTTATTGGACTAACGCACTGCTACTAGGCGGTGGGGCATAAAATGGTTAAAGATGGCGGATGGCTAAAGCTTAGCTGATATTGACCTAAACGGGTCCCTCAGTATCTCTAAGATAAGAGGGTGATAGCAGTAGCTCTAGGGATCCACCCCCTATAATATATTTTCTACGCGCCGCTAAAGCTTAGATCGATTCTACTAGTGACGCTCTAAATTTAGCGTATATTGAAAACTTTTGAAGCACGACTCCGTAACGACCTATGGAATTAAGTGATTACTTATTTAACCCGCGGGTTTCAGTCCGGGCTCTACTCTTTCTGAACCCGGACCGTTACAATCCGGACTCTAGATTTGTAAATCTGAATCGTCAGACCAACAGGTTTTTATCAAATTTATAAATCTAAATATCATCTCAAAGCTCAAGTAGTTAGTTGAAAGTGCTGTAAGCTTAAATTCCCTACCAAGATGATCGGTCATGCGCCTGTCATGCGCCTGCCATGCGCTTGCTATGCGCCAAATAGAGATCCATACACATCCACATACAGAACTTGGTCGTTTTCTTCGTTGTTTCTCTTGATTTCAGCGGTCAGAGCTGCTGACTCTGATAGGAGGGCCATTTCGTTAACGGTGGAAGCGTAACTTTGTTCATCGCGAACTCCACACTAGGGCCAGCATTCAAGATAGGAGAGCAAGATACAAGCGCCAGCGACATTTATGAGCAATTCAACGCAATATCTACACGTACTTCGTATTGCGTGCGTAGGGAGCTATTCCTACATCTCCCCGCAATCTTGCCCTATTACTTACACCAGCAACTCGAGGGTAGCGCCAAGGAATTGCAAGACTTTCGCAATGCACAGTACGGAGTACTACGGTAGGAGGCATAAATAATGTTAGTTCACCTTAGTAATTTTGTCATTTAACACGTCCCTTACAGATACTCCTGCTGCACTTGTACGAATTCAACGCGTTCAACGCGTTCAGCTTCTTCTACTACTATTCGATCTCTTTCTAACTCATTGGTCAAATTTCGATATTTTCCTATGGATTCTATGGAGTTTATCCGGCTATATCCTCCTAGAGCTACTCGAATCAATGCCAGCAAGGTGCCAGGCAGTCATTGATGCTAATGGAATGCACACTCGATTCTGAGCGGAATAGACTAGTCCTAATCAGGCGAATGTGTGGCGTTCTATCTTGGCATTTACAAGCTGATACTAAGGCGAACTAACGTTATTTATGCCTCCTACCGTAGTATGTATGCAACTACTAGTATTACAAAGGGGCCGGTTCCGATGCCAGCTTAGGGCGTAGGTTGAGGGGTATCTCTTAGTTCGCTCCAACTTCTTATTGCATAAAGCTTAGCACCCATGTCATGCTCCTCAACTTGTCAGTCAGCCTCGCCCCTACGGTGAAACCCTTCCGTAACTAACCTCCGAAATTCACTGTGTGATACCAAACTTCTCACATATTTCGCCAATATAGAGCACCAGGAGATGAGATGTTCAGACTGCCACTCCCTACAATAACCAAAACATGATTGGTCGACCGCAGTCAGCTCATTTTGAAGTCTCGACCTTATAGCGAGCTTCGGCAAAACCAGCTGCAACCAGGTGAGACCGCGGTTCCTATGCATAAGTAGAGCAGTTTTAGCGAACTATTGTAGTAGCATTGGCAAGGTCATTATTATTAGAATCACCCCTCTCTATCGCATCCGACTTCGAGCCCGTCGGCCATGAAGCATAGGGTTCTTTATGTTGCAGAGGCCTTCAATTAAACCTCCAGGGCACGTTTTTCTGAGGATAATTAGGCAAGCATCGTGCTCTTCTTACTTTTTTTCCAGATGGACGTCTCATAGGTGATTTTTTACCTGTTCAGAATCTTGTCTCTTGATTCCCTATTCCCTGCATCATTATTATCTCTGAACTTATCACTTCGGTGTCATGGCAACAATACCCCCACCTTCGAAAAACCTCGGGGACAATCGTGGCCCTGAAATAACCCAATCTATCACTGTCGTTGTTGTCCTGACAGCCCTTTCTTTGATTGGCCGTCTGTTCTCTAGAAGATTGCAGAAAGTGCCATTGGCAGCTTCCGATTACACAATCATTCTGGGATGGCTCACGGCGTGCGGCATGACCATCATTATATATATAGGTTAGTTTATTGTTTGATGGTCGAAGAGCTATTTTGCTCGTTTGGTTGTTGACGTGAATGCTACCTTAGGGGTCACTCTAGGACTAGGCAAACATATAGAGGTGGTACCCTTGGAGGACATGACGAAGATACTAAAGGTGGGTCAGCACATGACGATGATGACGACCTGTGCTGACGTGATTCTAGAGTACAATGGCCTCCGAGATACTGTACAGCATCACAATCTCTGCTACCAAGATCTCGATTCTTCTTTTCTATCGCGAAATCTTCCCAGGACCCAGATTTGCAATCGCAACCAACATCGTTGCCGCATTTGTGATTGCTTGGGGGGTTGCCTGTATTCTAGTTGCCATCTTCTCATGTAATCCGGTCAATGGATTCTGGGATCTCACCATTCCTTCCAAATGCATCGAGACACGCATGTTCTTCATTGGCAATTCCGTGCCCAACATCATTATGGATGTGGTTATTCTTACGCTTCCCATGAACAAGATCTGGCATTTGCAAATGCAGTTCAAGCAGAAGTTGATTGTTTCAGGTCTATTTCTGCTCGGCGGCTTGTAAGTGCTCCTCTCGCGCATACAAGATGCTTCTTTAACAAAACCAGCGTATGCATCTCGAGCGGCATTCGTCTTCTCTTTTTGCAGGACATGGACGTGCGAAACCTAACTTGTGAGGCCTTCATACTACCAATTCCTCCTATCTGATCTCCAGGCTTACAAAATATAGGGAGCTACGTTGGAACGGCTTTTTGGAGTGTCGTTGAGGTCAATGTAGCTGTCATGAGTGCATGCTTTCCCACGATGCGCCCGTTGCTGCAGCGGACCATCCCTAAGCTACTGTCCATCGGATCTTTCAGCTTTGGGTCTCAGAAAAAGGGCGGTGGTCTTGTTCCTTGCGAGAATACGCATGCATTCAGGTCAAAGGACATTACAGTTCCCCAGCGTGTACCTGGCCCTTCCCAAGGTCATGTAACAATACCGAAGCCAGCAGAGGTACAGTATGTCAATATAATTCAAAGGGAGACTGCTTGATAGAGTGCCAAGCTGCTTCCAGATGGAAACATGTTGAACTCAAAAATACAGTTTGCGCTATTTTGCTACGTGCGTCACCAGCGTTTTGTTACAGAATCGATACGTGATTTACCTCAGCCCCGCATGTATTTTTTGTATCTGCGTTTCGCGCTATTTCGCTTGATATAGCAACTCTGTACATACAAATGCTCTCTCTACGCACTGAATTAGATAGAATAACTTGCTATTTACACACTATCCACTTGATTAGTCAGCACAGTTCATCAAAACACTATGCGTCTGATCAAGGACATGATTGACATTCGCGCGAAAGATAGCCGCATAGAGCAGTATCAGGACGGATCATTTTTGCAAAGATTGTGCGCATGTCAACCAGGTAGAACAAATGGCTCTGTTCTCTCTCAAAAAGGCGCAGGGCGCGCAGAAACAAGTACAAATTGCAGCGAAATTAGCAGCGAAATTGCGGCAGGACAGAATAACAAGAACTAGCCGCTACTAGCACCAGACTAACAATACTTATGCCTCCCCTGTATTACACCTGGCGATGGAGTGGTCTCAGGTTAGCTAGTCAGTTCGTATTTTATGAATGATAAGTGAGGAGCATGGTATCCATCAAATCAAACGAAGCAAACGAGGCCCTGATGTGCTTTGATTATTTAATCCGAAATCGTAATTTGCTTTGTTTGACTGATCTGTCAAATCGAGTCTAATCTCAGGAAGCAATATTTCTAGGGATTTGAATTCTCGTCCTGTTCGAGTGTCCGCCAAGACTAATATTATCCGATCGAGAAAATACCCCCGTCAAGACTTCAGTTTGGCTAGTACTAGTACTACTTTGTCAAATCCATCCGATTTGATTTGATTTGATTTGATGGACACACTGGCCGAAGAGGCAGTCTTTGCATCGGTGCGGAATCTTAGGAAATGATTTCGGGATTCTCTGCCTATTTTGACATGCATTGGGGTAAACAGCTTGGTTAGAAAAGGATGAGGGTTGAAATTGAGGTTGTTGGGCATGATGAGAGGGTGCCAGGGTTGCTGCTGTTGTGAGATCAGCAAATCAAAGTTCCTAGAAATCCGAAGTCCGGGTCTTTTAGCCAGCTATCAAGACTTTTAGAGACGAGGAATTCGAAGCGAGGCCTCGTCAAAGCCTTATCTTCTTCAGAGTCTCACCACTACTAATCATAATTACATGTACATAGTAATACCACGTCCGGGGTTGAGGTTGTCATTTGAAACTACATTAACCGTGTACTCCGTAATACGATGCCAAGACCGCTCCCTACCTTTTGCTTCACCCAATCTATGTAGTACACGTGCACATCTCTCAATGGATGGCTGCTCTACCACAAATAAGGCATCGCGCATGCATAGATAGCTAGGGTGCTGTTCCAAAAATGTCTTATCGCCACAGCTTGAATTGGTCTTGTGTTGGGGGCGGCAAGGCTGGAAGAGCCTTGTGAAAGAGACACATGGGCTTCCCGCCCGATGCGATCGCTTTCTCATCCGTGGTGTTCTAGACGCTGTAGCCTGGCAAGGTACGGAGAAATGTGAAGCCGTTCAATGCAACGAGGCTGGGAGAAGCTTCCTCTCTGAATAACATGGATCATTCAGTGCGTTTTATCCAAATTAGTTCAAGACAGACTCGAATTTGCTCCGTCGGCTCATTCTATCCACTGTTCAAGATATAACTGTCCGCCGCCAGAATTACTGGCCCATCCCTACGCTATGGAGGAATCGCCTCGATCTTTTATACGCGCCGACTATACTGTTGGCTGGATATGCGCGCTACCGATAGAGCTCAGCGCAGCACGGAGGATGTTAGACGAAAAGCACCCTGACCTACCAAAGAAGGCAGGCGACGAGAACCATTATTGTTTGGGGCGTATAGGATGCCACAACATCGTTCTTGCCTGCCTTCCCGCCGGCGGAATTGGCAACAACTCCGCCGCAACTGTGGCAAAAGACATGATGCGCAGTTACAAGTCCCTCAAGGTAAACCTGCTCGTTGGCGTTGCGGCTGGCGCTCCAGGAGAGAGTAACGATATCCGGCTTGGAGACATCATTGTCAGCAAACCCGATGGGACTCACGGCGGAGTGGTACAGTATGATTTTGGCAAAAGGTTGGAGGGGGGTCGTTTTCAACGTACAGGATCGCTTGACAAGCCGCCTCGGTTTCTGCTACAAGCGATAGCAGTTATACAAGCTACCCACGAGGGCGAAAAACCGAAGTTCCACGAGTTCATCTCAAAGACAACAGCAGCATATCCCAACTTTACGCCACCCAGCAGAGAGTCCGACATCCTATTCAAAACGACATACAGCCATAAGGAGGGTGAGAAAACGTGCATCAAGTGCGATCCACAGTGTATCGTGCCGCGAGAAGCCCGGCCTGACGATTCTCCATTAGTACACTACGGCAACATTGCCTCCGGTAATCAGGTCATAAGGGACGCTCCTTTTCGGGACAGTATAGCTAAAGAAGAGAAGATCATCTGCTTCGAGATGGAGGCGGCCGGATCGATGGACAACTTTAGATGCCTGGTGATACGAGGCATCTGTGACTACGCAGACTCCCATAAGAATAAGCATTGGCAGAAGTACGCCGCCGTAGCTGCAGCTGCGTTCGCGAAAGAATTGCTGTTAACAATCCCGGAGGAGGAAGTTCAAGTAGCGCGACCAGAGAAAATAGCGCCAGCGGTTGGTGAGTCGCTCTGAATGTCCAGCTCTCTAAATCATGTTTGGCGACGGAGTGTGCTACTGGATTGTTTGGCACCTGCAACACACATGTACCCATTAGCAGGATTTGAGGGTGGAAGATTGTCAATGTACTAGCGACTGGGGAACAAGGGGACCACGAACCAGAGATGGCGCAAAGGTCGCTCTGCTAGCAATGCGTAGTCGAAAGCCTTGCACGTCGCCAGAATTATCTATCATTTATCTTGCGCCATCGCTTGATTTTTTTTCTTCGTCTATGTTACTAATTTTGAACGTAACAGAGGCCACCGGCAATGAGCATTGGCTTGTTCCGCGTGCTGCCAGTGATCTGTTCACCGGCCGAAAATGCACCATGGAAAAATTGGAGCAGTGCGTCCTACCTGCAACAGGGAACAAGAACCCCAAACAGCGACGGTTCGTTCTTGTTGGCACTGGTGGCATGGGTAAGAGCGAAGTATGTCTGAAGTTCGCGGAGAGATGTCGCAACAGGTAAGCCCGCTTTTGCCCAATCGATAAGGTGTGCATGCTAAGCACCATACCTAGATTCTGGGGCGTGTTCTGGATTGATGCAAGTTTTGAAGAGAGTGCTAAGCGGGGTTTTATCGACATTGCTGAGCATTGCGGCGTGTCAGCGAAAAGCATCGAAGGAGTCAGATCGTGGCTTTCGAGCGTTGAGCGATCCTGGCTGCTTATATTAGATAACGCAGACGACGCCGAAGTCGACTATTCCAAGTACTTTCCGCCGGGTAAAGCGGGGAGTGTCCTTGTGGCGACACGTGAACCAAACTACTCGTTTCTCAACACGGTGGGATGGGAGAAGTTAGAGGGCTTAGACAAGGGTGACGCTGAAGAGCTCCTCTTCAAAGCTACAGGAATTCAACAGGATAATTGGCAAGAAAGACGAGGTGCAGCTGAAAGAGTGGTCAAGACCTTGGGTTTTTGCCCACTTGCAATCGTTCAGGCCGGAGCCTACATACGTGGGGGTTACTGTGCACTTGAGCAATTCCCTGAAGAATACTCCCGCTGCAGTCAGAAGCTGATGCGACCCAGGCCAGAAACAAGGGAGGCCTCTGAGGCTAACCTATGCACCACCTTTGAGCTTTGTGCCAAAACACTCGAGACGTCCGACAAACCGGAAGCCGCCTATGCCCGAGACTTGCTCCATATGCTAGCACTTCTTCACTCCGAAGATGTTGCAGAGACGGTTTTTGAAGAAGCATGGAGGTACAGTCAAACACGCAGAAGTCCGCCCTCTGATGAATTAGATAGAGGATTGTATCTCTCCACATCACAGGTGTCTCGTGTCCAATCTCTTACCTTCATTAAACAAGGCTCTCCGGTCAATCCTAACGGTGTACCTTTGCGCCAAGCTCGCAATCTTCTGGTTTCTCTCCGTTTTGTGGCATTTGATGATAGAAAGTGTGCGATATCAGTGTATCGGCCGGTACACGAATGGCTCAGACGTCGAATGGACCAGGCACATTATCAAGAGACATGGCTGGATGCCGGGTCGATTCTGGCTCTTGCCACGCAAGAAAAGAGGTCGAACAAGGGATTCTCCAAACATCTGCTACAAGTGGAAGCATACTTCAGTCGCCCTCGCAACAACTTCTTTGCAAGCCACAGCAAAATCGACGCGATTCGAGCCTTTTACTGGCTGGTTTGGAACCTCAAAGAACGTCAGGCTTTCCCAGTGGCGGGGTCCCTCGCCCGAGTAATCTTTGAAGCGGCACGTGATGGGGCCTTCGCGCCGGACTGCTCAGAGTTGATGGCCCTGCAATTTCTATATGGCAGCTGCCTCCAAGAGGATGGAGACAATGACTCAGCGGTATCACTGCTTACACAGATGTTCGAAAAGGGAAAGGCTGGGCTACCTGCGGCGCAGCCATATCTCCGCCAGGCAGAGAAGCAGCTTGCCAGGTGCCACGGAAACAAGGGGTTTGACAAGGCAATCAGGGTGTTCAAAGAGATTGTAGATTCTCAGAAAACCCAATCACATGCTCAGCAGGGAGAACACCCAGCACCACAAGACGGGTATCATCAGTTAGTGAAGGCCGTAGACGAGTTCCTCAAGGTTCAGAAAAGCACTTTACCACAGAAGCATATCAATCAGCGAGCGGCAAAAACCGAGCTTATCAAAGCCGACATGGACGGGACACGGCTTGAGAAAGCAGCAAAGCTACTAGGAAAGATCATCGAAACCCCGACAGATGTGTTACTACCTGAGCACCCAGACCGGCAAGAGTCGCAATTTTTGCTTGCGAAAATCCACGGGACAAGGCGAGAGCTTGGGAGGTCGGCAAAGCTTCTCGAGGACCTGGTCCAGGCTCAGAGGACCAAACTATCGGCTGACGACCCCAGTCGCCTGGCTACAGAGCACGAGCTTGGGACAACATACACAGACAAAGGCCGCTATAAAAAGGCGATAGAGCTCCTCGCAGAAGTCGTGAAGAGGGAGAAGACTTCGCCTGTCGCCCAGCCATCTGATCGCGTCATATCACAGCACGAGCTCGCAAGAGCCTACAGCGGCGCTGGCCAGTACGACAAAGCCGCGAAGCTGCTGGAACGTATCACCAAGATTGATGAGGAGACCTTATCCTTCGACCACCCCGATCGATTGGCATCTAGAATTGCGCTTGCACAAGCCTATAGAGGCATAGGAAAGCCGAGAATATCAATAGATCTGCTGCGGAAAATAGCCGAAATCTGCAAGTCCAGCGCACAAGTTGATGACGAGACTCATGTCACAGCTTTGCAGGAGCTTGCATTGGCATATTCCGATGAGGAACAGCACAAGGAAGCGCTGGATGTCATGAAAAAGGCTATCAAGATCCAGAAGGCTACACTACCTCCTCGGCACCCGGCACTTCTGCAGTCGCGCCGCTGGCTAAAGCAACTCGAGTTTGCTGTCGCAGGTGATGCGAAACAGGAGCCTACCATGCCGCCAACATCGCCATCCAATTCCATCATCTCCCCCATTGGATATGGCGGCGTTGGCGCCACGCATCAAATAAAATCAGCCAAGAAATCACCAAAACCAGAACCAAACAAAGTCCAGAGTCTTCAGAGGCCTGCAACGCCGGCCACCCCACCACCGCCATATACCCCAATACAACCAGCCAAGAAAACCCCCCAAGCCAGGACCAAAACCGGTTCACACTAGTCCAACGTAACGACGATGACGACCCGAAAAACGCTGCCAAGCCGCCCTGTTGAAAAGTACCAATAGTATCAAATCGTGTCGTCAGTTCCACAAACCGGTAGCGACGGTAGTACCATACCAAAGGGGAAATTAGACTCGGAGGGTAGGGAGGGAGGTTGGAGGGAGCTGAAAAGGGGAGAGGAGGTTGGAGAATCTTGGCCATCCAATCCTTTGTCAGTACTACGTAGTAAGTAATTACCTATTGCGGCCAAGGGCGACATCATGAACCGCTGTTATTTTCTCCTTCATCGCTTTTTCTCAGGAAGGTGTTACTCACGGCCTGCACCAAGGATGAAAAGGAACCTGGCAACCTACTACTTTGTACGGCCGAGAGTTTCTTCACTCTTTTGACTTTTGCCCTGTCGGAGTTGGGGCATCCTTTGTCAAACACTTGCTGGCGACGTCAATGAATTCTCCGCCAATGCGTTGTAGCATTTGTAGTAGAGCGCTCGCCGCCAATTCTGTATGACACAGATCGCAGTCCCCAGGAGTTCTGCAATTGAACCTCTCTCTCCATAGACCCAGATACCTGAAGTTCGTGGCTGTTTAGCGTCTCTCGCCGACTTGATGCATACCGGAGCTTGATTTCTTGATATACTCGATCAAAGAGTTGTAGAACGCATTCGTAGGAGATAAGGCAGAGTGGTTATTTCCCGGCTGTCAAGGAGGCCGTAAGAACTGAGTCAATGTCTCCGGTCTATAGGCGCATCAGATAGTGGGCTGTTCGAGGAGTTTGAGGTCTAGGCATTTCATTCAAGCTGAAATAGAGTATGAGAAATACAGCTATTTAATGTCTCTTCTTAACTGTTCAATAAATGCAGATGCCCTCATTTGAACTTGATAGAGGGGTTCATTGAATTTGTTAAGATGACGTTCAATTTTAGCTCAAGTTTAACATATCTAATTTACATACTAACACTGCTATCAGAGTTATCCTGATCAGAGTCTTCTTCTGGTTCTGAGATTTCTGGCTCAGAGTCTTCCGATTGAGAGGCTTCCGGTTCAGCGCTTTCTGGTTCCGAGTCTTCTGGTTCCGAGTCTTCTGGTTCCGAGTCCTCTGATGCCGAGTCCTCTGGTTCCGAGTCTTCTGGTTCAGTGTCTTCTGGTTCCGAGTCTTCTGGTTCAGTGTCTTCTGGTTCCGAGTCTTCTGGTTCAGAATCCGGGTCTTTTGATCCAGAGTCTTCTGATTCAGAGCTGTCTAGTTCTGAGGTCTTTGATCCAGAGTTATCTGATTCAGAGTTTTCTGGTTCAGAATTAGAGTTTTCTGACTCGGAGTTCAAGTCTTTTGGTTCAGAATCTCCTGATTCTGAGTTTTCTGGTTCAAGGTCTGACCCAGCGTCTGTGAGTTCCTTCTCTGATTCATCCTCCGACACATCAAGATCTTTAAAACCTTCATTGAATTCGTCTGATTTATCTGATTCATCTTCTGAACCTGATTCGTCTGCTAGGCCTGATTCATCTCCTAGATCTAGTTCCTCTTCTGAGCTAGTTCTCTCTTCTAAGCCTGATTCCTCTTCTGAGCCGGATATCTCCTCTAAGCCTAATTCTTCACTTAGATCTGGTTCCTCTTCTAAGCCTGGTTCTTCTCCTGAGTCTGATTCCTCTTCTGGTCCTGGATACTCTTCTGAGCTTGGTTCTTCTCCTTGGTCTGATTCCTCTTCTAAGCCTGGTTCTTCTTCCGAGTCTGGTTCCTCTTTTGAGCCCGATTCTTCTCCTGGGCCTGGTTCCTCTTCTGAGCTTGATTCGTCTTCTGAACCTGATTCGTCCTGGTTGGTTGTATGGTTGGTCGTGTGGTAGGTCGTGTATTTGGACGTGTGGTTAATCATGTGTTTTGTGGCGTGCTTTTTCATCTGTGATTTGTGTGATTTGTGTGGATTATGTGGATTATGTGGATTATGTGGTTTGTGGGGCTTCTCTGGCTTGTGGGGCTTTTCTGGCTTGTGGGCCTTTTCTGGCTTGTGGGCCTTTTCTGGCTTGTGGGACTTCTCTGGCTTGTGTGGCTTCTCGGGCTTCTCGGGCTTGTCTGACTTGTATGGCTTCTCTGGCTTGTGGGGCTTTTCTGAGCTGTCTGGCTTGTCTGACTTGTCTGACTTCTCTGGCTTGTGGGCCTTTTCTGAGTTGTGTGGCTTCTCTGGCTTGTGTGGCTTCTCTGGCTTGTGTGACTTCTCTGGCTTGTGTGGCTTCTCTGGCTTTTGCGGCTTGTCTGAGTTGTGTGCCTTCTCCGGCTTCACTGGCTTGTCTGACTTTGGTTTCTTGTGTGACTTCTCTGGCTTGTCCGTTTTATTGACACGAGCTGTTCTTTGAACAGGTATGAGGCTAGGATTTTTTGAGGCGCCATGATCATGGGCGAGCTTGGATCCACGGGCCGACTTCCTTCCAGCACGTAAAAATGGGGAGTCATTGCCTTTAAACAGGGCGCTGTTCGAGAGTGGCTGAGGTGAACTAATACCTCGACTACTCTTTCTGAAAACGCTATCTAGAGATGGCGGCTGCAACGACACATCTGCCTCTTTCGCATATTGAGAGACTTTATCTGATGGGAGGCCCAAGTGGGACATTGGCAGAGATGTGCTGTTAGGCTTGTCGGCGGTCTGTTCCGGCCTAGAGCACAGCAATGACGATTTGGGGCTATTAATCGAAGTGGCGGGTGGAACGACCTCTTTCCGCCCGGTTTCGGTCGATCTTGGGGATCTTGCTGGCGGGAGAGCTCTGCGGCGGACCTCTTGCCCTTTCATGTGCTTGTATCTGAGACGGTCCTTCACAAAAACTGCATGAAAAATTTCTTCATCCGTCAACAACCGCTTTCCGACTGGTTGGTCGTCCTTGGGTGTGCGGTCTTGTCCTTCAGACTGCAGCTGCGGCCTCAGCCCCACGGGATATGGGCTGTCCGAAGCTGACTGGCGTTTGTGGGATCCTTTGTCGTGTTCACACTGTACAGCTCGCGGATGAGCCGCAAGAGTTGTTGGCGGCACTTTACGTGCTGCATCTCCTTCGTGGTTCGGCAGTGCTGCTTTCTTCGATTCTTTCAGAGATGGCCGCGAAACCCCGGGCGCTGCTTCAGCACTCAGTGGCTCACCAGGGCTGCTGCAAGGTTCTTTTCGTATGGTTGGGGTACCCTCCTTAAAGACCTTTCTGCCAGTTTTCGCAGAAGCTGATTTTGACGGGTGTTTCGCTTTAGGTACAGCTTGATCACTCAGCTCCGGAGCTTGTCTATCGGTAGGTCTGAAGGCTGGCTCATTGGGGACTCGTTCCCCGGTTAGGACTGGGCCGCTCCAACCCTGAGCCTGAGCATCTGCGTCGGTAACCTTGGGCTCCACTTCGGCTGACGAGCGGCTTTTACGCAAGGCGGGCCCCTTTGAAACCCGGCTTGCTGTTGCAGGAGAGGGCAACATTTGATCCAGACCCGGTAGTTCCGCCCTTTGTTCAGAACCTTTAAAGGTAGTATCAGGCAAGCTACCTGTTTCGGTGGCATGCCCACGTTTCTGTTTCGATGGCTTGGTTGTTTTGGAAAGACGTGTCTCTTTTGAAGAAGTCTTTCTCTGCTGGGTCGGCAGCTCTGGGTTCTCCCCCAAAATGTCCACGTCATGTGGCGATGCCTGGAAAGACTGCTCACTAGAGCCGGTGATGTGGCTCGGTCTTCCTGACACAGCTTCTGGGCCCGAAATCCCTGAGCCCTCTTCGGCATTGTTGATGCTGACAGCTTGAACGCTTCGTTCCGCTCTGTTCTTGCTGTTTTTTGAACGGCTACTTTTGACTGGTAATGACCCCACAGAGCCTTCTGGTGCAGAAAGCGAAGAAGGTTGGATTTTTTCCACTTTCCTACCCTGACGTTGACGCTCGGCACTGTCTGACAGCTGTGGAACATAGACAGAACCATTTTCTGCAGCAATTTTTGCGTCCCCTTCCATTCTCTTTCTGGTCAACGGGTTTGGTCTTGTAACAAGGTGAAGAGCATTTATATAGAAGGGTTTTCTTTGCATCTGTATCCAGGCCCACGCATCTTGGGCGTCTTTTCCTGGCGGCATGGGAACCCTGTGCGGCGGAGCTTTCTGGCTGTCAGCTGTAGCAAGTTTCTGCAGCAGATGCCCGGCCTACCTTGGGTTGCTGTTATTGATTTAGCAGGGAACATGTTGGGGTAAGATCTTTTCGAGTCGTCGGGCCTCTCGCATCCGGCAGCGACTCTGTGTATCTCTTGATATGTCTCGGGTGACGAGAGCGGCTCCGACCAGCAGCTGAAGCCATCGGGAACCGCTTGTTGGTAACAGTTGAGGCAAATCTTAGTGGTGTCAAGAGTTGAGATTCCGTCATCTCTGAGGCGGAAAAACCCAAGGCGGCTAGGAATCTTGGACTGGAGCGAGCCCTTGGATCTTGGAAACTTTGAAGTCTCTTGTCAACGACTTGGTACAAGACAGAAGCTGATGTAGAACGTACATGGGCGCAGTTACCCTGGGTATTCAACAAATGCTCAAGATTCTCTGCCAACCCAGGCGGCGCAACTCCAGTCACGTCCATCGCGGTCAATGCTGCAGCAGACATCTGCTGTCTTCCAACGCAAATACCTGGGGAATGCCAGGACTTTGGGATAACGTCCTGTAAGTACGGCGAGCTACTGCGCCAAAACCACTACTGGAGCTGCGAGCTCTGAGGGGCCTGGGCAGTCGGTTTGCAGCTCAGCGGCAATAGTGTTTCAAGCGGCTGAAGTGGAAAAATGTTTCACTCCGCTGCAGCGAAGCTTGGATGGGTACCATGAGGGAAATGATAGGGTCGCGGTTCTGGCCACAGCTATGCAGCCTTGGGCACACGGACACGTCGGACAGGCGACTCAATCCCGCAGACGAATAGTAGATGAGCCAGTCGCGCCCAATGGGGGGGCGAAGGATGAACGTGCATGACACCTTGTTCCATTTGCCGACATGAGACTCAAACCTGTAGAGCTTTCCCACTTGGTATGCTGCCTGCATCCACTCTCAGCTCGTCTTGCCCTTTTTCGGATAAAGGCTGATAGTTCAAATGGTGCCCAGGGAACTGGACGCTTGTCTCGTCCATTGTTGCAAGCGGGGCCACATAGACGAAGTGATGTGATTACCGGGTGAAGTTGGCACAAGGCTGAACAGCCTGAACGAACTGTTTATCTGTATGATTAATCATCTATGTGCATACTACCAGGGGGGCTGAAGTAATGTTAGCTCAGCGCTAGTATATTTACTTGAAAACCCTCTCTATACAGAACAGCTATGCTGGAAAAAGTTAGATGTAATGATTTGACTCATCAGAATGAATGCACACAGAACAAGCTTTGAGGTAGCGAATCATTACACTAGGTTGTGATAATAAGAACTAGTTGTTCTTAACGCCAGACTAATTCACTGCGGGGGGGGCCAAAAGTAATGTTAGCTCCACGCTCGTTACATCATGTAAATGGCCGAGATAGAACGCCACCAAATCGCTCAATCAGGCCTAGTCTGGTTTTTTTTCTTAATATTGATTATGCCGTCCTTCTGCATCCATCACTGCCTGGCACCTCTCCAGCAGAATGGGGAGAAGAATGCGTATATGTAGACACAGCCAGATCAATAGAATCCACGCGAAATTCGTTGAATTCAAAAGAATCTATACGAAGTTCATTGAATGTAATGCGTAGAATCGACAGAAACGCGTGGAGCAGTGAGGTTATAGCGCCGGACAAGAGGTTCTGTCAAGAGGGCGTTTCGTGAGAATTTTACTAGCGTGGAGCTAACATTACTTATGGCCCCCCCGTAGTACTTCAGGCCCTTCCTGTAGTAGGCGCATAAGTAGTACTATGGTACCAGGCAGAAGTAGTCATAGTTCGGCGCCGATATTTGCCACACAGAACGCTCTCGACACAGATACACCTGTCGCCGTTGTAAGGATTGGATACAGGACCAGTATGGGGATACTCTTCATACGTACCCTGGGCTTTGAGCAGCTACCACTGAGGTCTGGGAGGCAGTTCCTGAGAGTCATTTTGAAGAACTTCTTATGGAGATGCCCGTAAGATATTGCCCATTGCAAAAGTGTTGCAATTCCTTGGCACTGCTGCAGGCCTGCTGCTATTCTCCTCTTTTGTTCAAACAGTTACAGAAAGCCGTTTAAGGATCTAGATACGGAGTACTGTGGAATAAGTATCTTGCTAAGCCTATAAGTTATCAATCATGCTAATCTTTGTAGGCTCTTAGGATGCTTCTTATAAGGCTTGACTATAGCTTCTAAGCCTTATTACAGTACCCCACCAAAAGTATTGGGACAAAACGCGCTTTTTTTTCTACACGCGTTTTTTATCGCCTTTTTCAATCAACCACCATGAATCAACGCAAGGCTTTGGCGCCTCTAGAAATCAACAGGAGCTATGGCCAGGAGCTATCTCCATATCAGCGCGGTCAAATTACAGCCTACCATGAGGTAGGCCTATCAATTAGGAAAATTAGCAAAAAAGTAGATTGCACTAGATCTACTGTTTTCAACACCCTCGTACGAAATATACCCTTTACCGAATACTCAAAGATGAGGGCATTACCAATTGGCTTGCTAAAAAAAGACCTCTTCTGACTCCTGAAGTAGTTGCTAAACGCCTTGCTTGGTGTTTAGAACGAAAAGATTGGACATGGGATGACTGGCGCAGGATAATATTCAGTGATGAATGTTCTCTTGAAAGAGGCTCTGGAGCCCGGCGAGTTTGGAACTTTCGTACGCCACAACAAAAGTGGGATAAGGATATGGTTCAATCATTTAAGAAAGGCAAGGATATCAGCGTCATGATATGGGGTGCTATTTATGGAAATAGGCGTTCGGATATCGTTCTTTTGGAACGTGATCCTGATTCAGAGAAGTCAGGATATACTGCCAACTCATATCTCACTATTCTCCGTGAGCAAATCCCTCGAACGTACGAACCTGGCCGGATTTTCATGCAAGATAACGCCCGAATTCATACTGCAAAAAAGGTTATGGCCTGGTTTGAGGAGGAGGGTATATCTCTGCTTGATTGGCCCCCTTATAGTCCGGATCTGAACCCAATTGAACACCTCTGGGCGCAACTTAAGCAATGGATTAACGACCACTACCCAGACTTAATCCAAATGGGCAAATCTGAGGCTGATTATCAACGTCTGTTTACCGCTATTCATGAGGGTTGGGACGCTATTAGGCAAGAAGCTATTGATGCCCTAATCAAGAGCATGGATACCCGTATAAATGCAGTGATTAGGGCCAAAGGATGGTATACCCGCTTCTGATATCTAGCTGCCTATTTAGGAAATTAGTACTATTCGAAAGAGCAGATTTTGGCGCACCATTTAATTGATTCTTATAGGATTTCAATAAATACCGGGCGTACAGTAGTAATTTGTATGGGAAGAGTGGAAAATGTTGATGGGGTAAAAATGCGGGGTGTCCCAATACTTTTGGTGTAGTACTGTAGCTTATCAAGATTTAAGTCATTCGAAAGGGCTAGTTATTAGTAGCTAAGTCCAGGATGGTTAGTTTCATAGCCACACTTTAGCAGCAGTCAACTTTTGAAGCACGACTCTGCACGACTCCGCACGACTCCGTAAGACAAGAGCAAATGTATGGCATTGTATCTTTTTCATAACGTTACTAGCGCCGTGCTATGGCTACTTCTGCCTAGTACCGGAGTAAGCATCAATGACTGCAAAGCCTTGATTCCTATCAGTAAATCGCAATGAGCTTCTGAGTCATGGATTCGACATTCAAGCTGGGGGCGATATGGGCCGACCAATATGCGGCGACCACCTTGGCCTAGGAACTGATGAGTAATATGAAACATACCATGCGGTTGGTCAACACGATTACCAGTCATTTCAATACCCATCATGCCTCCCAATGAAAAGGATGCAACGTCTAGAAGGAACTATTATGCAGTATCCTCTGAAACTTTGTGCTAACCGCCTACTTCTGCTCCTCAGACCACCTGGCCCAGCCTTTGGGGCCTCCAGGCCAATCATCCTCACCTGCCCGTCTAAGTGGCACCCTCTGCATCTCCAATCTTCAATCTTCTTCCATAACTAGAAACCAAAAATGCAAGCCTGCTTTTTTTCCTTCCCGGGCCCTTGCTCTTCCCTAGCGTATTTCCACCCTATAATATCTTCCCCAGAAAGCCACCGCTGATATTCGAAGAGAAAACGGGGCCAGGCGCGATTGACGCGTGGATACTCGTAAGGCTCCGTGCCTCTGCCTCGTTACTGGATTCTTTCATCGAGATCCCCGACCTACTAGTAATGAGCTACGTTATTCTTGCTCCGTGCAGGGCACGCCAACCCCTCGCCAGTTCCTGAGCATTCATACTTTCTTTCCACCTGAACCATTGTTTGTTCAAAATGTGCTCATTACAGCAATCCTCATCAGGCCCTCGCATGGCAGCAAATGATACTCCGCCATCTGGGCGGCCTCGACTAGTGGAGATTGCTAGACAGTTTGGTGTTCCTGTTTCGCGCCCCGGACCTCTCTCACCCCAGAAACCCCGTGGAAGGCCTGTAAACCGGGTCGATGAGATCCGCGCAAAACAGTTCATCATACAAAGACAATCCACCGATTCAGCAGGGGAAGGATCCCGGCACATCAGCTTACCACCAATGCAGAACAATTTTCTCCCTAAGGATATCAATCGAGCACTGAGCGCGGCCGTCGCGGAGAATGCCGACCCAGCTTTGGTAGCAGCTCTATTGGCTCTGGGTGGTGACGTCAACATTGCCAGGAGAGCTAGCGGCAACATGTGGAAGAAGCTTTGCAACGTGGATCAAACAGACCAACGAAGCGACCTTCTCCAAGTCGCCATTCAAAATCGGAATTTAAGCCTCGTACAGTTACTTGCTGCTCAAGCGGACCAAGTTACACTCAACACGTCCCTGCCAATCGCACTACGTGTGGGCGCTGTCGATATTGCGAAGGTGCTCTTGGAATGCGGTGCAGATGCTGAACGCTTCCACGAGGAATTTCCGGCTGCAGTCCGCAATGGGCAAGAAGATCTGGTCGAACTGCTCTTGCTTGCGCCTAAACCGCTGTGCTCGCACTGCCGTGAGTCAGGACTGCTACTGGCCATCACTAGCGGATCTGTTCGCAACACATCGATGTTTATTCTCAGCAATGCCGCTGGTGACAAGGAGGAGCTTCTAGAGGCCAGCTTGCGTCTCGCTATTGACCGTGGCCGTTTGGACTTGTTTACTGCGATCGTCGTTTGTTCTGAGCGGCCTGCTTCGAAGGCGTTGGACGGGGCTCTTGCTTCTTCCAATAAAGTGCCTGCTAAACAGAGGTCTACATTCATCGAATTATGTATTCTCGGCGGTGCCCAAGGCGTACACTGCTCTGAGATGCTGTATGGCGCTGTCAAGCAGGGAGAGCATCGCCTTGTCAATACTCTCATTCAGCATGGCGCGTCGCTTGACCACCGCAAGGGCGCTGCTCTACAGCATGCGATCGAGGGACATCAAGCTGCTCTAGTCTGCAGCATGCTCCAGGGAAACGTGGTACCTGTGACCCTGACAACAGTATTGCGTGAACAGAAGGCCAGTTTCTTGGCCAACCTGGATTTCACTCTCAAAGTCATGAGTCGTTTCATAGCTGCAGGCACTACCAATGATGTTATGGCGGAGTTGTGCTGTGCAGTTGTTGAACACGTCCAGTGCACCGATCTCGAGTGTCAGCTAGAGCGTCTGAACCCTCAAGCTTACAGACTGGCTACCTTCCTGCTAGACAATGGCCATGCGGACGTCAATCACCAAGGGGGGCGGCTCATCCAGGTTATCGTTAATGGACCCTTTGTAGATCTTCTTCCTCATGTGCTGGAGCAAAAGCCGTCCAAGTCTTCCGTCAACGCCGCATTCTCTTCGGCTATCAGTATCCGCGATGACCACCCAAAGAAGCCAGAAACAATGCAGATGCTGTTAAAATCAGGCGCCCACGGTGATGTTGTGGATAAAGAACTCGTCCGTGTTTGTCAAGCTGGCCGAGACGCCATTTCAATGGTGCACGTGCTCCTCCATGGCGCATCGGTTGATTTTCAACACGGCCAAGCAATCCGTGCCGCCATTCAAAACCGTCAGCTTGAACTACTAAATTTGCTTCTCAGAGCCAAGCCGTCGATCATTACTATGGAACATGTTTGGACCGACGCCGTATATCTGAGTGATTCGACATATCGATTACACGTCTACAACAGCCTCCTCAAGGCCGAAACCAAAACAGCTCGCGGCAACGAAGCGTCTATTGGTTACCTGAGTGAAGTTCCACTTGTACACGCGATCCAGGCTGGAAATATTGGGGCTCTAGAACTTCTACTCGCTCATGGAAGCTTGCAAGGCCCTGTCATAGATAGTGCACTGATTAAGGCTGCGGAAGTATTCAGCATCGAGGCTCTGGAAGTTCTGGCAGGCTACGCCACTTCTTTCGATGCGTTTACTCGTGCATTTAATGCTGCTGTGCAGGTCCGGGAACATTGGTTATCCGCGAATGGCCTCGAAGTTGTACAGTTTCTTCTTGGCAAAGGTGTGACTGGGAATACTGTGGACGCGGCTCTCATTCAGGCGGCGAGCCGCTTCAACGAAGACGCGGTGAAATTGCTCCAGGAGGTGGTCGACGACCCTCAAACGTTCACTATGGCTTTCAACGCAGCTTTGAGTCAAGGAGATAAGTGGTTATCCGAGGAATTCATTGAACTTATTGATATCTACCTAGCCAAGGGTTCGGGCGGCGAATGCGTCGACATGGCGCTCTTAGATGCCCTTGAGTCGTACGAAACTGCCTCCGATTCCGAAACGATGGTCGACCTTCTGCTCTTCTACAAAGCCGACGTAAACTACGCGGACGGCCATGCTATTCAGCTTGCGGCTGAATATGGAGACGTTGAATTGTTGCAGAAGCTCTTCCAGTCCCAGCCGATGCCACAGAGCATGTCACTAGGCCTTGTCTCCGCTGCTCAGGTGTCGCATGAAGGTCCTCGCTTTATTGACGTACTGAACACCTTTATGCAAAATCCCAACGCGAAGCCGGACCTAAATTTTGTTGCGCCAGGAAAAGATCCGCTACTGTTCATTGTCCTGAACGCATATCCGGAATCTCCTGAAGTGGTCAAAAGCCTATGCGATTTCGGGGTGGACCTAAACTCCTGTGTTGTTTGTGGCGTCTATGATGATGAGAACTTGGAACCTGAAAATGTGAACGCATTAGCCTGGTCCTTGGTGCAGCCGGGCAATCTGATAGGTGATGAAGTGATTGGGGCACTCATTGATGCGGGAGGTAAGTCACTCCTGTACTGCATATCTTCGTCGGCCGCGATGTCGCCGTGGAGCCTCTTAAGTTTCGAATTTGCGCATGACTCTTCCATCCTCGGAGCAAATCTCGGCTACTCATATTCGGATGCTGACGATTCTGGCAGCGAATGTCACCGCCACACTGGCCGTGTCGAAGGCTACTCCTCTCCTCCTCGCCGCCAAGTACAACAGGCCAGATGCGATTTCCAGGTTCCTCAAGAAAGGCGTCAAACTTTCACAAAAAGATCGGTTTGATCGCTCAGCGCTATTTTACGCTTCTCGACATGAAGACGTAAAAGTGTTAAAGTGTCTCCTAAAAGCCAAACCTCCACCCAACGACGGGAGCCTTCACGAAGCGTCTCGAAGGTTGAATACCAACGCAGTCAAACTTCTTATCAAGGCCGGCCACGATCCGAACTTCCCTTCAACAAAACATGAAGGCCGTACCGCATTAGCCGAACTCTGCTTGAACTGCAACGGCGCGAGAGACCTTTTAGCTCTGGAGGAAACCTTGGAAGCCCTCCGCGACGGCAAGGCCGATCCAATGAAGAAATGGCTTGGCAAGACCCCGACCTTCCTTGCCCTTGACAACCCCGACCCTGTACCTGTTCTCGACAAGCTGGTGGAAAAAATAATGTGGAAATATATCAACGACGAAAATAACATTTACGAGGAAGGGGATTATTTTTATTCACCAACTATGTATATCATGAGGGGAGTTCTTAGGGGTCCCCACGACCAGGGGCATCAGCTTCTTAAGCTGCTAAACAACTATAGTGCTGTGCATCGGTATTACGCGAAGGAGCGTCTACACCAACCAGCTGATGCCCAGGGTCTACCGGCAAGTATCATCGAGTTTGAGCGCAAGCGCCAGATAAGAGAAGAACGCCTCAACCAACAAATAGAAGATCACCAACGCCGTCTCAAGCGCGTGGCCGAAGAAGCCGAACAGCAAGCTTTGATAGCGGAACAAGCCGCTATGCAGCGCTACCGGCATCGCCAAATCGACCACACGCAAGCTTTCGAACACCGCCAACAGACTCATGACCAGGTCTTCCAACATCACCAAGAGAACCACGCTCAATCGCTCCGCCTGAAACAGGAGCAGCTACGACAAAAGCAACTTGAAGTCCAGGAAAGCAGTCAGCTCAAGAGAGATCAACAATGGAAGGATGAGCAACAGAAGGCGTACATACAGCAGAACCAACGTGAGAACCAACTACAATTCAAGCGGATCGAACATCAACAGAAACTCGGTCGGCTAAGCCAGGAGCAACGAATGCAACTCCAACACAGCGCCAAGGTGGACCAGCGCAAACTCCAAACCCAATCCCAGCTGGACCAGCAGAAGAACGCCGCGAAGCTGCGGCAGATCAAGCTTGCCGCCTCGGATCGCTCGAATCAGCTGCAGTCCAGCAAGGCGAAGAACAAAATCCAGATCGCCTTCAAGAAAGACGCTGCTGTCGTGCAACAGTACGAGCACAAGATGCGTATGGAGGAGATGTATACCAAAAGGGGGAATATGCAGATGTCGATGCTGGAGTCGAAATTCAATACCGAGCAGAAGAAGATTGCGCAGGCGAACAGGAAGATGATCATGGGTAGCTGAACATGGTATTCTGTGGGTTCAAGTTTGAGAGACAGAGAGAGTTAAATACGGTACCGAGGGCCAAAGATACTAAGAAAAGACATTATTTATTCACCGTCTGAAGTGCTTAGTCAAGACAGTTAGGATATATGTTGCGCAAACTGAGGGATAGGCAAATGCGGCTGGGGTTTGTAAGAATAGGGAGTGGTTTTGGGCCTATGGGAATGAATTAATGGTATTTACAGATAACTTTGTTCAAACCGGTCCAGTGATCCCGCCTGAAAGCTTTTAATTTTGGGATAGTATCCTCTGAAAACACTGGGGGAGACCTTTGAGAAGATGCTTGTATCCTCTTTCAAATACATCTTCTCGAGGACACGAGAAGGATGATGACCGTAATTGGAGATAAAAGAAGCGGTGCCATCAATGTAGAACGGTGGAGATAATCTCTATTTCCTGCATTGCAAAATTGGGCCGCCTTGTTCAAATTCGCAAGGTGCATAGCTTGGTCGCAAGAGAGTTCCCGTCCATCCGATGGTGCTCATTTCGCTAGGCAGAGGCGCAACTTGATTTGGAGTTGGTGTTCTTTTCTCCTATTCGTGGACCAACTCACCATGTTCTTAGCCTTGTCAAGATGTCCCTTCTTCTTATGGTGCACCATTGATACAAGCATATGGATACTTGTGGTCAAAACCGAAACGGTAAAATCCTTCCCTAGTGGTGGAGAAAGGTTAGTTATTTGATCACAACTGCGGAAAAAACTTTTCCCTTCCCCTGGCCCCAGGGGCTGGTTGTCTGAAGGCAATTGCAAAGCTCACAGATTTTGATCAAATTGTCTCGCATTTGCTTTTACCCTTCCACTGCTCTGGTCGACAACGCCCTCTAAGCGCCTCAACATCTCTCTATGTTGCTCCATGGTGATCTTTTCCAAGCCCCCAAGTGCCTCTCGGTATTCCTTGAAATTTTTCAAAATTTATTAGTTCCTGTCCCATGGTCTTTGTAGAAGTCGTACTCTCTCCTCATCTCTTGCGTGAAATCTGTCGGCCACTGCTGGTAAGTTGCCGCATCAACAAATTGAGGACAAGCAGGTAGGTTCACACTGGCCCGCCGCCCTGCCCCAAAACAACGAAAGAAGTCGCCATATATATTCAACTCGGTGCGATGCCTTGGGTCCGCCACTTGGAGGCTGTCGTAGGTGAACACAGTGTCGCTTGAGCGCCGGATAGGCCTTTGACCATGGAATCGCTGCAGTGACTCTTCGGGTATGCGTTTGATGTCTTTGGTGGTGCTCCGAAACATCAGATCGCGACATGTCTCGTTCAGGATGGCCATGGTTGAAGCAAGGTCGGAGCGAGGGCTGATTTCTCTAACAAAACACCCCAATGCGGCCGATATAGTTCGAGATATAGCGAGCTCCTGGGCTTTGAATGGGGTTTCAAGAGTTCAATGTCAGGCAGATGGAGATGCAGGGGAGAGGCAGAGTTCTCTGAGGAGGTGAATATGACCTGAAGCCATGCTCGGGTACCATTGGCTTTCATAGAGCGACTCTGGGAGTCTGAATGTCTGGTGAGACATGGCGGGAACGTACACTGGTCATACATGAGCTTTCGGGCATATTCTAGCCTGATGTCTTTTCCCTTTGGCATTGAGTACATTGGGGGTGTTAGACCGCTTTGAACAACATGTAGATAGACAATGAAGGTTTCGGTCTTGTCCTGCCAGGTTTCACTTGGATATTTGAATGCTGTAGATGTCTAAGCATTTTTATCTCGTATCTCCTTGGTTCATAAGAAGCTCTGATCACTAGCTCTGAGTGAGCGGCAGTTGACAAGGAGAATGCATGGCAGCACTGCAATGCACGGACCCCAGTGTCTGCAATGATGTTTTGGCCGACACAAAGAATCTGTTTAAGGGCGCACTTTTGCTGACCAGACATGCAAGAGAATGGATTCTCAAGCGTGTCAGAAGCCTAGCGTTGCTTCTGGTGTATATCTTGTAGATCAAGCAAGGCTGGCAAGTTTCCACCCTCAGCTATGGAGGGGGATTCCAGATGAGGAAATGATGCAAAGTTGCCTCTAACTCAGAGCCCAGGGAATAAATATGCACCATCGTACATTGGGGATCACTGATATAGACAATGAAGGGCATGGTGTTCGACATGGTCATAGTTAGCTGGATGATCTTTCGTGGGTTGCGTACTAAGTAGTTTATACACAATCAGGGTACCAGTAGTCCATCAGATCCAAAAAAGCAAATCGTGACCTCCAGGCCCTGATTTGCTTTGATCATTTAAACAAAAACTGTCATTTGCTTTGTTTGACTGATTTCTAGGGATTTACTTGAATTCTCATGGAGACTGAGTGTCCGCCAAGACTATTATTATCCTATCGAAAAATATCCCTAACTAGTTAGAACATTTCAAAATAAGAGAATTTTCTGCCAAGACATCAGGCCGATTTGCTTCGATGAAAGCACCGATTTGATTTGATTTGTTTGACCACTTTGATTTGATGGACACACTGCATAGAAAACCCAACCAGTGAGCGCTCATACGGGTTGACAGTTCAATCCCAAAGCGTTTAGTGGTGCCCAGACAGATTGCATGTCTTATCCAATTAATCTACAGAAAGGAGAACGTGCATACTACTAGTAGAGAAAGCATGACAGTAGAACACGTTTTACTGAACTGCCCTAAGTGGTCTACAGAGAGGGAAGAGCTCATACACCCCCTCTGTACGACCGACATCAAGGAAATCCTGACCTCCAAGAAGGGGTCAAAGGCAGCCATCAGGATGATCCAGCGTACGAAGATCCTGGACCAGTTCAGAAGGGCCGTTGACTAAGACGTAGAACAACGTCTACAAGGGTCAAGCGGAAATCAGGAAGAGGAAGAGGACAGAATGGAGGAAGAGGACAGAATGGAGGAAGAGGACAGAATGGAGGAAGAGGACAGAATGGAGGAAGAGGACAGAATGGAGGAAGAGGACAGAATGGAGGAAGAGGACAGAATGGAGGAAGAGGACAGAATGGAGGAAGAGGACAGAATGGAGGAAGAGGACAGAATGGAGGAAGAGGACAGAATGGAGGAAGAGGACAGAATGGAGGAAGAGGACAGAATGGAGGAAGAGGACAGAATGGAGGAAGAGGACAGAATGGAGGAAGAGGACAGAATGGAGGAAGAGGACAGAATGGAGGAAGAGGACAGAATGGAGGAAGAGGACAGAATGGAGGAAGAGGACAGAATGGAGGAAGAGGACAGAATGGAGGAAGAGGACAGAACAGAGGAGGAAGGAGGGGGAAGGAGAGAAATGAAGAAGGGAGGACTGTACGAGTAGCGAGAAAAGGTTGACGAGCAGACCTACATAGGCTTTTTAGTCTGGATTAGGTTAATAGAATTTACTACTACTACATACTACTAGTAGTTGATGAGGCATTCAAAGCTCGCTTTTTGCGAGTACGAAACCAAATCAAAAAGCTGACTAGCAAGAACAAACAGACTAAGCGCATACGCTACCTTGCGCTCATGACCCAGGAGATGACCCGGAGTCCAAACCCCTCGACCTGCTGCACTCTTCGCAGTGAACTGTCACTCTTCGGCAATCTCGACCATGAACTCTTCGTAGATTCGGACAAAGGGATAACTAGCCTACCAAAACCGTTGGTCAATTCTGTTAACTGCAAACGGCAGACAAAGTGTAGCCGAATGCAAAAGACCAGGTACAATACTATAATGCTCAAGGGCTGTCCTCTTTCAACCTTTCTAATATGTCTGAGTCTATCTCTTGCTCTTCTTGTACCTATTGCCATCTCCACCATTGAGGAATCAGAAGACCATGAATATGATGCTCACCTACTTATAATCAGTTTCAGCCCAAGCAGAAGTCCTTGGGGGCTATGGTACAAACCCTTGCCTACCCTTCTAACCACTCATCCGCTTAACTAACCAGCTGCCAGGCTATATCTACTACCCTTGAAACCTTACCGGCGGAGATCCGTATTCAAATCCTGCTGGCACTAACAGATTTGGCATCTTTACGTTCGTTGATCCGCGCCTCCCCTTCGTATCATGCAAGTTATCGAAAAGCAGGACGGCAAAAAGTTTTAACTGAAATTGCCTTACAACAGCTGGATCGTCGACTCTGGCCAGATGCTCTTGCTGCCGTTCGTGCTGCGAGATTTTACGAGACTCCTTCCCGAGAATATCATCGCCATCACCTCGAGGCACAGCGGGCGACTACCTTTATCGATGAATACAGCAAGGTTCGTGGTGATGACCCTAACTCGAATGCAGAGTGGTTATCTTGTCGCACTCTTACGGAGGCAGTCGATTTGCTGAATTTAGTTGAGGCAGTCAAGTATGTCGCGGCCGACTACAGTCGGTCCGTTGCCTCCAAAATGACCCTGGCACAACTGGTTTTGAATATATCGCACATGGAACAATTTCGAATTCACCGAGCCATGTACCGCTTCCAGATTTACTGCCATTTTTTTGGTCGCAACCCAGTTCTGACCCTTCCGGACACCTCCGACCCCAACGAGGATCGGCATCCAATTAAGCGATTTCTTCCTTCCTTCGCGCCATGGGAAATTTTGGAGATGGCCTGCATCTGGCATTACCTCAGCAGTCGATGGGCTTCCATGATTCATGAAGTCTCAGATGTAAAAACTAAGACTGAATCTAGATCGCACAAGGAAACTGATTTTGGGGACTCACTTTCAAACCTGGACATTGCCATACATTACAGCGATCCTTCTTCTTATGGTAACTCCACTATACTCTTGTCAAGTGAGAGGCTGGCTTGTGTTCAAGTTGACTAACGTTAATCAGGTTCCTCCCCAGATACAAACGATGAAAACTACAAAAAGCATCTCGCTAAACAAAGACGTGAGTATCTTGCCCATAAAGGACCCCGCCACTTAGCCAAGGCTCTTGCAACTGGGACTTTTGAAAGGCGCCACCATGCTGTTTACGAAGACTATCCCGAGAGCCTATTACTGCCATTTGCAAAACTTGATGAATATCCGAATGAGCAGGAGGGTCTTATACCTCCAGCTGACAAGTACCAGCAACAAGACATCCTGGCGCAGTTATCTACAATGCCAGAGTCTGAGCAGCCCAGTCGTGGTTGGGAATGGCTCTGTGATAAATACGACATTGGCTCACTTGGAATAGGTCCGACCGTATGGCGTGAATGGTGGAACATACGTGAACGCAGTGGTGGACACGAGCTGAGGTGGGGGTTTCCTTTTTGGGATAGGGAGAAGCTGGAATCGTGGGGCTTGATCCCATCATAAACCATCAGGGAAAAACAAGAATAAAAGTGGAGTTTGGTACATGCCGGAAACACACACTGAACATGAAAAGCCTGGTTTCACCTAATCATTTTTGGCACCACACAGAGTCAAGGTGGGGTTATTCAATCTATGCTAGGCTAGTAATTTATACATTTCATGTTCTTTGGTCTCAAGCGAATTGAATCGTGCATTTGCGGTCTTCTGCAATCATTAGGATCCGGGTGGTTACTTATTATGGTAATGCACTACAGGCGGCTTCATTCACAGGGTTTGAGAAAGTGGTACAGATCTTACTGGAAAAGGGGGCAGACGTAAAGAGCCAAGGTGGACGATATGGTAGTGGTCCACTACAGGCGGCTTCACACGGAGGACATGAGAAAGTGGTACAGATGCTATTACACAAGGGCGCAGAAGTGATTTTCCAAGATGGAGATTATGGTATTGCATTGCGAGCGGCATCATCAGGAGGCTATGAGAAGATAGTACTAGATAGCGGCGCAGACGTGAGAAGCCAAAAGTAGATACTATGGTAAGAATGCGCCGTTGGCGGCAAAAGGAAGAGGTTACAAGAGGATAGTACAGATGTTGCTGGATAGGGGCGCAGAGTTCCCTAAATAAGGATATCAAAGAGACAGCACTACTAGTCGCTAATTGGAGATGTCTAGTGTTTGCCGGCGATGTTCTTGTAGGTGCTACATAGCGTGTAGATCCTGCAGCCCATCCGTCTCGCATTGTTAGAGATCCTGCTGGCACTATGGCTGTGACTTTCGAGTGTTCCGAAAGACAGCATGGCGATTGAGGATGTGCGGCGAGCGACGGAGGAGAGGAAATTGGGTATTCGCGAGACTGCCTTGAAGGGCTCCCCATGATACACATCTCAAGCATTAGGCTATTGTCTAGATCCTTGAGAGGTGCCCGTAGTGCATTGACGTATGGCACCCTGCAGGTAGGATGTATCATCCTCGAATATCAAGCCAAGGCCTGGCCTTTACGCCCAGTTTAGAGCGATCATTCACAGCCACTAGTAGCGGTAGACCATCTTCAATTCACAACACGGCCTGAGCAGCTATGTCACTTGTGCATCCATCTGTATCGTAAGGGGAGGTGACCACCGCGCCGTTCTCGACGAGTACCAGCTCATCAATTCTCTCCTTGGAATATTCGACCCGCTTCCAAGTCTTTATGGCCCCGATGCTCGTATCGATTTCCCAAACCCGCATTCGCCGGTGATATCGCTTCTCGCCGTACGAACCATACCCTCCGAATCCACTGCCACCTCCGTAGCACAGCCAGGGACCGAGCTGAGGGGGTTTGTTGCCATCTTGCTTCAACTCTTTATGCGTCTGTTGTGGCCGCAGACCGCAAAAGTCATTCACGTGATCGTGCCCGCAGCCTACTGCTGCTATACCTTCTTCGGCCAAAGCATTGTAAAAGTGCAAATTGAAGCTTGGACCCTTGGTCGGTTCTCTCCGGTGGCCGCCCCTTACTATAAGATCGCTGTCTCCGTACTCGGGAAGAGGGATATGCATGAAAGCCAGAGACAGATGGAAGCGGTTGTGGTGGTTGTCATCCTTCTCACGCGCCTTTCGCAGGGCTTGGGAAGTGCATGTGAACCAATCGATTTGGCTTTGCGTAATCCAGCCGTAGTCTGGATTTTGTATCTTACTCGGTATTTGCTCGTGGGAGTCCACGAAATATAAAGTTGATAATGGAACCTGTGACGACGCATGAGCGAAGACCTGAAGGTAGTAGTTGCCTACGCCGTCGACCTGCTCTGGACCTGACTGGCAGAAGCTAAAAGGTAGATCCTGAAGTATTGACATCTGTGCCGTGCCTGCATGCTATTTAGTCAGCAAGAGTCGTAAGTTGTCGTATCAAAACTAGCGCGGCTTAAGGAATAAACAGCTATTCTTCCCAAAAGCCAGCTTGTCAGAAGTGCATGACTGTTTTGCGGAGCAAAGCATTCTACATTGCTCGCGAAATTGTGACAGCGCTGTGTGTGTTGTCGATCGCTAGCTCTGTGTGTTGGTTATAAAACAATTTACTCACGTGATAATGTGTAAGCACCCTCGCTGTCATGATTGCCAAAGACGGCTGCATATGGGATTGAACGCTCGATCAAAGGAGCAACCACCTTGAACAGGGCAGATTGGCTGTCAAGAATGTCGTGGTGCAGTTGATCTCCAGTGAGAATCACAAGGTCTGGCTTCTCAACATCCAAGATTCCTCCAAGAAAGTCGATGGTGAGTGGGTCAGCCTCACTTTCAGGCAGGGGTTGCCCATGGGCATCAATAGCATCTTTGCACACCCCGACACCAGTCACCATGTGAGTGTCGGAGATCTGGACAATCTTGAATTTGCCGTCCTCCCTGGCCCTTAAAGCCGTCAGAGGGCTATCTGGTCTCAGCTTGGCCCTGCCGTGTCGTACGCTTAAACTTGCTACTGGCACCTCCGAAGGAGCGTTCAGCTGGAGCGGCGGTCGTATGAGAGCCCATTGCGGTCGTGGGTCAACAGCATCCACACCAAAAAGAACGTCCACACCCGTCACAGTCTGGTGACATTCGCCAGTGTATTTACTTCTTAACACCCAGATGCCTCCAGGTCGACTCTTCCATGAGTTATCTGAGCCGATGCTGGGATGCAGCTTGCCAACCCGGATATCCGTAACCACAAAGTTGTCAGTAGTAAGCTCTTTCTCTTTTGCCTGCGCTATATGCAGCCACGCGCTCTGTTGAGCTGTGTGCAGGAAGAGTTCCTTCTCTATGCGGTGCCATCTCTGTTGGTCTAACGCGCAGGTGGAAGGATTATCGGTCGGAGACCAGAAGCTTATGGTCAGATCCGTGACCACTGACCGAGCATCCTCACAGCCCATCAGTGTATCCAGTCAAATCAAATTAGTCACATCAAATCAAATCACGTTTGTCATAGCAAATTAATCAAAATTGGGTCTTGGCAGAAAAGTTGGCATATTTTGGCATATTTTTGTTGAAAAAATAAAATGTCTTGGCGGACTCCTTTGCGAGATGGAAATTCTTGACAGGTTATCCGGGAGCCTCTCGGGACCGCCCCCTTGGCAACGCACCCACAGCCACAACGCCCCCTTACGTAAGCTGAATTTACACTCCTTCAGATGAAGCCCCTGTGGAGCTCCGTAGAGCCCGGGGAAGCTCACTGGCGCCGGGGAAGCTCATAGTTGAAGAATATTTTCTTCAGGGGCTCTGTGGGTGCTGACAAAGATAGGAATGCTTTATAGACGGTATTTATATCCTCTTTTGCCTCCTTTAAGCCCTTTCTTAGTGACTTTATTAACTCTTCTCTTACTTTCTTTTTACTTGTAACTTATTAGTTGTCTTAAAGTAGTAATCTATCTATTTCTTTATATTTAATATAATTACCTTAAACGCCCTCTTTACTATTAATCTTAAGCAAACCTAGACGTATCTAAATCTCCCTCTTTATTTATATAATAAATAGTTAAAAAAGGCCTAATTATTTTCTTTAAGCTAGATTAAAAAGCTTATTAGTAGCAAGAAATTTAATTCTTATAAGTAGTATCTTTAGTATCTAAATACTTATAGTTTTATCAAAGAATATCTCTTTATAATAGATTATTATAGATCTAAAGAAACTCTTAACTAGTAGTTTCTTTATAAATTTTATAGCTTTAAGATTATTAATAAAAGAAAGCTTAATAAATATATAATAAAGAACTTAAAAGAGGCATTTTTATTAATAAGATAAAAGGACACA